AAAAAAAATAGTATTTAATATTAGATAAACTAATAAAATTATATTATTCTTTATACTATTTAAAACAGTAATTATAATAGTAAAAAAATTAAAAAAATTAGATTTCTATTTCTATCTAAGTATATATAATATTTAAAAACTTAAATAAAGCTAGTTTTTTTGTTTTTAATAATAATTTATTTTCTAGATTATTTTTAAGATTATTTATATTCTTATTTTTACTAATATAGAAAATAATAATTATTTTATTTTTTTTTTACTTTTTAGGTATAAGAATAATTAAATTTAGATTAAAATTATTAAAAATATTCTAGTACTTTTTATTAATAATAAAATAATTAGTATATATTTAAAGTCTTACTATTTTAATTATATTAGTATAAAAACAGCTCCGGTAATAATAATAAATATTTTAAAAACTATTAAATAAATATTTAATATTAATATTATTAGTAGCAACTAAGAAAAAATCTTTAATTATTTAATAAAAAATAAAAAACTAATTACAGCAGGACTTCTAGTAAATAAAAATATTAATATATTTTATAATATCTAAAATAATATTAGTTTAATTAAAGATATTTTTATAAGTTATATATTTTTAATATTTAAATATATCTTAAGTTTTTTAAATATCTTGGCTGCTGGTAAAAATCTTTAATATTTAAAAATATTATAAAAAGCTTTATCCAGGTCTAATAGTAATCTAAAAATAGTTAATAATATATTAATAACTAGATTCTAACTATAATAAAAATAGAATATTTTTTTAAAAATAGTTTAGTACTTATAATACCAGTTAATATTATTGTTTAATTAAATATTCTTTTTAAACTTCTTAAGTTTTAATATCGGGTTTAAAATAATTATAATTATATAAATATAGTTTTCTATTTAGTAAATATAATAATAGTATTTTTAGAATTTTTAATATATATTCTGTAAGTTTTTAAAAATCTTTTTTTTTTAAAATACCCGCTTTTTTACCAGTCGGTTAATTAAGTAATTTAAATAATTAAAAAAATTATTATAAATATTATAAATCTTATAAACAGTAGACCTACTGTTCTTAGATAAATAGAATATAAAAAAAAAATATAAAAGCTTAAAAAAATATTTTATTTATTTTTACTTAATTATAGTAAAATAAAGATAATTAATATTACTATAATTATAATATTAAATAAAACTTTTAATTATTTAATAAAAATTAAGTACCCGGCGAATTATAAGATAGATTAAATTTTAATAAGTTTTCTAGTTAAAAAGAAAATAATAAATTAAGCTTAATTTAAATTATTAAATAAGCTAAAATTTTTTATAATATTAAAAACTTATATTTATAAATTATATAATCTTCCAAATCTATGATTAAAAATTAGTAAAATTAGTTATTATTAAAAAAAGATCTTTAAAACCCGTTTATAAAAAACTAATCTAAATAATTTTTATTATAGATAATAGAAGTTTTTTATATTAGTTTTTTATAAATAACTTCTAGAATATATTTCTTTAAAAATTTTTAAAATATTAAAAAAGATTTTAAGATTTTTATTATAAATCTTTTATATATATTTAACAGTACTATTTAAGGCTTTAATCTAAAGTTTTTATAAAAAAATATTAACTATAAGCTGAATTATATAAGTAAAATAAAATATATAATACTAATTTTAAATAATTATTATAAGATTAGAATAGAATAAAATATTATAAAACTAAATATTTTAACTAAGCTAAGTCTAGAATTTAGATAAGATTATATTAAATATTAAACTATTATTATTAGTATTATTAATTATTATATCTAATAACTAATAAAATAGATTATATTTATATAAAACTAATAAAATAATTATAGTTAGATTCTTACTAGTATAAAATTCAGATATTAGTTGAAAGTCTAATAAAATTTTATAATAATTTATATTTTTTATTAAAAAATATCTAATTAAAATAAAAAATATTTTTTAATTAAAGCTGATCTAGCAGTCTATTATAATTAATATTTATTTAATATTTAAAAACTTTAATAACAGCTGTATATATATATTTTTTAATAACTTTAAAAAATATTTTTTAATCTGTATTTAATTAGAAGAACTTAATTTTTAGTAAAAAAAAAAATTATAAGATTTATTATTTATTTAAATTAAATATTTTTAATAGTTTAAAATAATAGACAATAGATAATTATAAAGTATAAAATTTAATTTTAAAAATTCTGTTTATTATAGACTGCAGAGGCCTAGAAAAAATAATAATTAAAAAAGATTTATTTTTAAAAAATAAATAAATATCTATAATAATTCTTTATTTAGTATCTAGCTAATTATTTACTTAGATACTATTAATAATATTTTTTTTTATAATTCTTACAAAGATAATAGCTTATAAAACTAGTTTCTAAATTTTTAATTTCCGGGTATTATAAGATATAAAGATATATAGTATAATAAATATAAAAAATTTTATTAAAAAATAATATATTTTTTTAAAAACTATTTTATATTATTAATATTTTTTTTAATTAAAGTAAAATAGCAGTTTTCGAGCTTGTATATAAATTTTAAAAAAGATTATTTTCTATTATTAATTCTAAAAAATAAAAAGTTTTTTTTTATAAATTAAATATAAAATAATCTTTTAATTCTTCGCGACGCGCGTAATCTGGAGATTTAAAAAAAAAGATCTAGCTTAAAAAGCTTATTTTAATTAGAATATTATTATAGTTTATAAAAATTTAAAAAATAGAAAAAAAAAGCTTAATAGTATTTTCTAAAAATAAATTAAATAACTATAATTAACTTATAATTCCAAGACTATTCTACAAATAATAATTATAGAAAAATAAAAGTAGAAAATTCTATAAAAATAGTTTGTTTTACTTTATAATATACTTTTATATAAATATAATTTATTATATTTTAAATATAGTTAAAATATTTACTGTATTTTATTTATTTTAAAAAATTTAATAAACAGAAAATTATATTTTAAGTCTAAAGTTATAGAAATTAGATCAATCAGATTAGTTAAATTATTTTTATATTAATAAAAAAAATCTAAAAAAAACTTTTATAGAATTTTTTAAGAGATATAATATCTAATATTTAATTAAATAATTATTAAAAAATATAGTTGCTAAAAAAGACTATATAAATAATATTATATAAATATTATAATATAATTCTAATTCTTCCGATTTATCTGCTTAATCTGTTTAATCTATTTAATCTGTTTAATCTATTTAATCTACTTAATCTATTTAATTTATTTAACTTATTTAATCTGCTTAATCTATTTAATCTATTTAATTTATTTAATCTGCTTAATTTATTTAATCTATTTAATCTACTAAACCTGCTGTTTTTAACTATTTATTATATAATTCCGAACCTGCTTAAAAATTTTTTTATTTTTAAATTCTTTTATAGTTCTTTAAGCTACATCTTATTTATAGATTTAAAAATAATCTAACTAAATAGCTAGTTAAAAATAAAAAAATAAATTATTAAGATATTACTAGTTTATTATTTATTTTATTATTTTATTTATTATTATCTATACCTGCCAGCCTATAATTTAACAGCAGGTTTTTTCTTAAATTTAATTTATAATACAGATAATTCAGCTTTTTTAAATAGAAAATAAGAATATAATAGACTATTTAAGCTGAAGTAAAAAAAAGAATAATAAAATAAAAATAATATATTTATTTTTAATAATCTAACTAATAATAAATATATAGTTTTTCCGCTATTATATAATATAATTAAAATATACAGTCTAAACCAAGCTATAATTATATATATTTATATATATTTTTTACTATTAAAGCAACAGTTTTATAAAAAGTTAAATTTTATTAATACTACTAGAATTTTCTGATTAATTCTTCTAGATAGAAATAAAGAAGATATTAATATTTCTTTTAATTATTATTTTCTAATTTAAAAAGCTTATTTTTATATATTTTTAAATAATAGTTAAAATAGTTAGATTAATAACTGCTTAATCTAGATATATTTTAATTATACTAGAGCCTAAACAGATATAGTAAAAAAATCTTAATATTAAAAATAATTAAAATAATTAATTATCTGTTTTTTAGCTATACCGCGGTCAGATATTAAAACTTTTTTAACCTGGCTATAACCTAGCAGTCAGATATAAAATTTCTAATTAACCTGATCTGACCTGGCTGTTAGCCACTCTATTTATATCTTTAATAAACTAATCTAAAGTAGAAACTACTACTTACTTTAATATATTTATCTACTTTAAAAATATACTCGAAATCTATATAAACTTGGATTTATATACTAAAATTAATTTTATTAGCTATTAATTTATTTAGTAATTTTATTTAAATATAGTCTGTTTTACAGCCCTACTGGTTACTATAATTAATTATTTTACTATAACTATTTATAGTATATAAAAAATCTTTATTACTGCTACTAATTCAAAGAGAACTATATAATTACTTATAAAATATTATATAGCTATTAACTATAATCCAGATCTTTTTAAAAGCCCTATTCTACTTTTAATAACTATTTTAAAAGATTTATATATTTATTTATCTATATAAAAAATCAACAGTAGTAGTATAAAATCTAAATATTAAAGATTTTATCTTTTTATAAATTTATAAAAGCCTGCTGAAATCTTATTTATATTAATACTATAATAAAACTTCCGGAAGATATTTAGTTGTTTAAAAATAAAATCTTATCGAATTACTTAAAAACCGAATATAATATAATTATACTATTTTTAAAATTCTATAACTTTATAAATATCTTTTTTTTATATTCTTTTTAACAGCTTTCTTTTATAGACTATAGGACTATATTATTAATTTAAAAAATAGCAAAACTCTACTATATAGATCTATTTATTTTTTATCTTAAGTTAAGCTTTAATCCCTTTATCGCTATATTAATAAAAATATTTATTTAGAATAAATTTGATTTTCTAAAAATCTTATAGAAGCTTTTATTCTCTTTATATTAAAAAAAAATAAAAATCTCCGACTATATATAGATTATAAAAAACTTAATAAGATTTTAGTTAAGAATTATTACTTTTTATTTTTAATTTTAAAAATTTTAGATAAAATTATAAGAGCCAAATATTTCTTAAAACTAGATATTTAAAATATATACTATTAAATCTGTATTAAATCAAAAAATAAATAAAAGACAGTCTTTTAAATCTGTTATAAATATTTTAAATATTTAATTATACTATTTAGATTAACTAATATTCTGGTTATATTTTAAAATTATATCTATCTAGCTTTCTATAATATATTAGATATTGTTTATATTATTTATTTAGATAATATTATTATTTTTTTAAAAAACTATTTTTTTATACTCTTTATTTATATTAAATATTAGAATACTTATAAAAAGTAGATCTTTATATTAAATTATAAAAGTATACTTTCTACTAAAATTATATTAAATTTCTAGAATATATTATATTTTTATATAATATATTAATAGATTTCTGATAGATATCTGATATTTTTATATAACTAATATTAACTATATATTATAAGATCCAAGTATTCTTAAGATTCTGTAATTTTTATTAGTATTTTATTAAGAATTATTTCTTAATTATATTACAACTTATTTTTTCTTTTAAAAGGTACTAAAAATAGAAAAAAGCCTAGAAAAATAATATTAACTAGTAAAAAAATAGTAGTATTCTAACAGCTTCTTTATAGTTTTAAAACTATATCTTTATTAAGATATTTTAATTCTTAGCAGAAAATCCGAATAAAAATAAATACTTCTTGATAAAAAATAGCAGAGATACTATCTTAACTAAATAACTACTATAAAATATACTACTTTATTATATTCTAATTAAAAAAATTTAATAACCTTAAAACTTACTATTTAATCCTAGATTAAAAGCTTTTTACTATTATTTACTTATTTAAATATTAGTATTAATATTTTAAAGAACTATTATATAATATTAAAATTCTTTTAGATTATTAAAATCTTCAGACTTTTATAAAACAGCCGAAGCTAAACAGCTATCAGATTTAATAATATATATATTTTAGTAGTAATAACTTTATTATTTAATATTAGTCCGATAGACATAATTTTATTAATCTATTATTAAAAATAAAGAAAAACTTAAAAGTCCTGTTTAATACGAAGATTCTAAAGTTAATATAATATTAAATAGCTAATAAATTTCTTATAAAATTATAGCTAGTCTTTAAAAAGTTTCAGTTTAAATATAACAAAATATTTTTATAAAAAAATCCTAAATTCTATACCCGCCAGCGTGCGTTAAGTTTATTAAAATCTAAATATAATTAAACCGGTATAAAAATAGTTAGCTGAATTATTAGAATAAAAATATTCTATAATCTATATATTAATATATTAATAATATTCCGAATATATAAATATAAAAACTTATTATATTCTAAAACTATTAGAGTAAACTTGTTCTATAATAAATATATTAATATATTAGTAGTATTCTAAGTATATAAAAATAAAAATTTATTCTGTTCTAAGATTAACAAGAAATTATATTTTTTAATTAAAAGAATCTAAAATAAAAATATAAAAATCTATTATTAAAAACTTGCTGTTTCAGAAAATAATTCTAAATCCAAATATTAAAAAATTAATAAGAATAATCTTATTATATATAAGTATTATTTATATATTTCTATAAAAAAAGGTTTTTGGTAATATTTATTAAGCCTTTATTATAATAATCGGCTAGCAGGCTATTTTAGATAATTAAAAATAAAAACTCTTTTTAAAAGAAAATTCTATTAAATAAATCTTTAGAAAAATATGGTTATTTATATCAGAAAGTATTTTATATATTAAGAAATTCTATTTATTAGATATAAATTATATAGTAAGCTTAAATTACTACTAATTTCTAACTAATCTTTTGTCGAACTATTTATAAACTTTATTATAGATCTATTTTTTATTATAATAAAAAATAATATTCTGAATTTAATTCTTATTATTAGTAATCAGTTTAAAAAATAATATTAATTTTTATTTATTTTATATATTATTACTGCTTTAGAACTTGCTGAATTTTTTATAGAAAGATTAAACTCTAATTTAAACTATCTTAAGATATAATCTTAAATAAAGATTTTCTTTTTACTAATAAATTTTAATCCCGAGTTATATATTATATTTAGATTAAATTTTATTTATTAATAGTATTTCGACTTTAGACTAATAGTTAAACTAAAAAAATAAATCAGATTTTTAAATAATATCTTCGATGCTTTATTAATAAAAATTAATTAAACTAATCTATTCTACTGTCTTTTATATAATTTATTTATAATAATATTCTAAATTTAATTATTAGTTACTTTTCTTTTAAGATTTTTTTAGATTATTTATCTAACTTTTATTTTTATACCAAGAATAGTACTATTCAGAAAAAGATTTCTATAGCTAAAAATCAAATTAATAAACTAGCTATACTATAAAAAAACCTATAAAATTACTGGTAAAAAGCTAATAAAGTATAAAAAAAAATATTATAATAAAAGATACCAGTTAATAATCTTTAAGAAAAAAGATCTAATCAAGCTATCTACTAAAAATTTAAAAATTAAGATCTTATTTCAGAAGCTAGCTTCTTAATATATTAGATTTTTAAAAATTCTAGCAGCTATTAAAAAATAGATATATTAAATTTTTCTATCTAACTACTACAGTCGAATCTATAATATTTTTTATATATTATTATTAGAATAATATAAATTTAATATAGATTTATAAAACCAACTCCATTCTTTAGATTTAGAAAAAAAAAAAGGAGTTTAAAATCAAAGATATTAAAAATAAACAGATTTTTAATAATAAACAGTATTTTCTAGTTAAATAAATAGACTAGCTAAGTAAATATGATAAATAGATTTCAGAAAAATCTATAAATAATATCCAACAAGCTATTTAAAACTATAAAAAATAAAAAAGAATTAGAACAATAAAAAATATCTTATTTCTAAATATAAGAAAGACAACCGAATCTATATTAAATTATTATATTAAATATATTTAAAGTTTAATACTAAAATATATAATTAAAATAAAAAATCTTTATAAATAAATTAGATTTTTATTAAAAAACTACTAGACTAATCCAGTTAATTAGTACTATTCTTATAAAAAATAAATAATAAAAAACCAGAATTACTTTATTTTCTAAATATAAAAACCCTAAAAAAAGATCTTATTATTATATATAATATATATCTTACAGCAGAATTTTTTAAAAAATATCTGCTTAGTTTTAGTTTATAAAAAAAACCTGTTATTTCTAGAGTGGATTAACCTGACTATTATACCTTAACTAGAGTGGATTAACCTGACCGTTATACCTTAACCTTAACCTGACTATAACCTGGCGGTCAGATTAAAGTATAAAAAAATTTTAACTATATAATTATAATTAGATTAAAATATAACTATTATTTTAACCGTTTATAC